AAGATTTGGATCCAGCCGTAGTAGGATTCAATGAAAACAGGAGCTAGCTTTTCAAGGACTCTATGAAAGCTCAATCGAGACCTAGTGGGATTTGATTTGCTCTGGATCCAGCCCTAGTGGCAGGAATCGATGAGAGCCGATTCGAACCGCCCCCCGCAAGGGGAGGGGATCCTGCTCCCCCCATCCCCTCCCCTCCCCTCCCCCTGTTTCCGGCCGGTTCCGGGGGAAGGGGCAGAGATTTTGCCCCCCGTTTCTGTTTTTCTGGGGTGAGGCGGGATTTGTGTTCCAGCCAAGCGACGGTAGATTGCGCACCTTTCTTGCATGCTGACCCCCCTCCCATCTGGGTAATTCGTTGAAATGTTTAACACGAATGTGCGCGGTGCCAAGGCGCCAGGCGAGAGCTACATCATGAACTCGACCTGTGCCCAATCCGTTTAGATCTTTGTTTTTGACACGAGCGTGCGGGGCGCTCACGCGAGCGCCGCATTTTCACCTCCCCCGTCCATCCGTAGAATTGCTCCACACTTCCAGCATCGGGGCTGTAAGCTGGGGACAAAGTCTCAGGCGAAGGGCCCGGCCCGCCCTGCCGACAAGTCTGGCGGCCAGACGGAGAGGAAATACCTATGAGGAAAAGGGATGGGAGAAGACGAAGAAGAGGGCTGGGACCGGTCAGAAGGGCATCCGCATACAACCATACGGGTTCTCCCCTTCTCTCTCTCTCTCTCTCTCCCTTCCTCCCTCTCTCCCTCTCTCTCTCTCTCTCTCTCTCTCTTTTTTTTTTTCTCTCTCTCTCTCTCTCTCATTCCCATCAAAGAGGATACGATTATGATTTGTTTTAAATGGTTCACGGTGATAATGATGCTGACGATGGTGATGGTGATGGTGATGATGATGATGATTGTGGTTGTGATTGTGATGATGGAAATGATGATGAGTGATGCTGATGATGACGATGCTGATAATGAGGATGATGATGTTGATGATGATGCGGATGTTGATGATAACGATGATGATGATGATGATGATGATGATGATGATGATGATGATGATGATGATGATGATGATGCTGATGATGATGATGATGCTGATGATGATGATGATGATGATGATGTTGGTAGTGATGATGGGGATGCTGATGCTGATAATAGTGATGACGGTGTTGATGGTGATGATGAGTATGATGATGCTGCTGCTGCTGATGATGATTGTGATTTTGACGATGGTGATGATGATGATTGATGCTGATAATGATGACGATGGTGATGATGATGATGATACTGATGATGATGATGATGATGATGATGATGATGATGATGATGGTGATGATGATAATGATGAGGATGATGATGGGGATGTTGATTATGATGATGATGATGCTGATAATGATGATGGTGATGATGATGATGATGATGATGATGATGATGATGATGATGATGATGATGATGATGATGACGAGACGACGATGACGACGACGATGGGTGCCACGACGACGACGGCGACGATGACGATAGTGACGATGATGAGGAGGAGAACGAGTATGAGGACCAGGCGGATGACGACGACGATGAGGATGGTGTGGACGATCATGACCAGGACGGCGACGATGGCGATGGCCACGACGACTATGCTGTGGACGATGCTGATGGCCAAGATGGCGGCGGTGGGAAGGTACTTCGCCCCGCATGGCAACGTGATCAGCGCGAAAGTGATGAAGGAGCTGGGCACCGGACGCTCGCGCGGCTTCGGGTTCGTGAGCTACGAGGACCGGCAGAGCCGGCGGCCGCCGAGGGAAGGCGTGCGGACAGCCAGCCATGCGGTCGGGAACTTTGGGACAGTGCACAGTGCGTCGCTCCGCCAGTTCTGGCCCACCAGGCCTCGGTGCGACACGCTGTCCACTTCGCGGTTCCCAAGCGCCCACGCGCCGAGCTTCTGCGAGCCTCCCACCCGATGAGCGGGGCGACAGGCTTTCCGCTTGCCAGGCGTCGCGTGTCGCAGGGGCCGCCTTGGCGACTCGCCATCAAAAAGTCGGGGCTGTAGACGAAGAAGGGGAGGAGAAAGGATGACTGAGGCAGGAGGACCCCCCACCTCCCCTTGTCACGAAATCAGGACTGGAGGTTTGGGGCGGTTTTTGGCCCCAGGGACTCTTACCGGGCCCCAGGACCGTCAAACATTTTCTCAGGATGAAAAGCTGGTCCCGGGGAGCGGTCTAGACCTCTTGGGGCCCATGTTGAGAAAAGGCCACACGACGTCGGAGGTCTAGAAAGGAGGGAAAGAAGCATGATGAGGAGAAAGGAAGGCAGAGAGGCGCGAGGAGGAGGAGGAGGAGAAGGAGGAGGAGGAGGAGGAGGAGGAGGAGGAGGAGGAGGGGTGGGCGGCAGGAAAGTTCGGATGGGGCGGGGGGGAGGAAAATAAGGAGGACGGTATGGGAGGAGAGGTTCTTTTTTATTGCAGCGACAAGGTTTTCCGAGGAGCGATGACAGCACTCGGAAGCACCGTGCTGAGTTCTGTCAGAAGGAGCGCATCAAGTCCATGTGATCATTGGTTTCTGTTTGGGCACCTTGGCCTCTGAGGACCGCGTGAGCTCTGCGACGGCGATCAAGAAGATGCAGGGGTACAAGATACTGGGGAAGCGGCTGAAGGTTGAGTTCAAGAAGGGCGAGCAGGAAGGTTCTCCTCTCGGGACGCTTTTTCTCTTTTTGTTTGTTCGTCTCTCTCTCTCTCTTTCTCTTTCTCTCTCTCTATATGTTTATGTCTATATGTGTATGCCTATGTATGTATGTATGTATGTATGTATGTATGTATGTATGTGTATACACATGTATATATAGACATGCCCCTCTCTTCTCCTCTAATAATATCCCCTGAGATGGCCCCCACACCGCCCACACCTAACTATGTTCGGCCCTTTCGCGGGCACTTTGCGCGTCCAACGCCGCTCCAACACGGCGCCGGATGATTTCCATGGCTCCCATGTCGCTTGCGACGGCCCGATAGGTCGCTGCAACACGGCCCACAAGGCCCCCGAGACTGCCGAACAGCGCTCTTGACGGCCCACGTTGGCCCCCAGACAGCCCACAAAGGCCTTCAGGACGCCCCAGGAGGCGCCCAAGAGGACCCCCTAGAAGCAATAATCATTCAACTCCAAGTGGGAGACGTACATGTTTAGCATACCCGCCTACTTGGTTGCAACAGCGTGTACGACGACCCCAGAGGCCCCGAGTATCGCCCCAAGACAACCCAAGAGGTCCCCAAGTGGGCTCAAGACGATTCCAAGACAGACCAAGAGAGCCCCAAGACGGCCCAAGAATGGCCCAAGAGCGTCCCCGGAGCGCCCCAAAGGGCTCCTCAGAGACCCGGGGTGGGGGGCACAGGAGGCCCCCTAGTGGGCCCAAGACGGCCCCAGGAGAGCCCCACGACGGCCTAGGCCTCCCAACATGGCCCAAGAGAGCCCCAGGACGGCCCAAGATGGCCACAAGACTGGCCAACATGATCGACCCACGAACCCGCAAAGGAATATAGAAATGTACAGCATGGCGGCATTTCAAGAACACCTGATTGGGAGACGGGCAAATGCAATGCTGAGTGTATCGATCTTGATGTACCGTGCCGAGGGCTGTGCTGCGCCGTGCTGAATTGAGACGTGCCATGCCGCGATTGTGCTCTACAGCGTTGTAGATCGAGTCCTCCTTTGCATCCGAGTCCTGACCGAATTGAATTTTGATCTTAAGCTCGAGCTGCCTGAGCACATCATAGCTGCCCCAGGGCCAATTGACAGGGTGACATGCCAGGGGGACGCGCCGCGGAACGTCCCAAGGGACGCGCCAGGCGACGTGCCAGGGGACGTGCCATGGGGACGCACCGCGGGACGTGCCAAGGGGACGCGCTACGGAACGTGCCAATGGACGTGCCACGGGACGTGCCAAGGGACGCGCCGCGCGACGTGCCAGGGCAACTCGCCACGGGACGCGCCACGGAACGTGCCAAATTGTAATGCTTAGTGCATCGATCTTGATGACCGTGCCGAGGGCTGTGCTGTGCTGCGCCGTGCTGAACTGCGATGTGCCATGCCGCGATTGTGCTCTATAACGTTGTGGATCGAGTCCTCCCTGGCATCCGAATCCTGACCGAACTGATTTGGATCTTAAGCTCGAGCTGCCTGAGCAGATGGCAGCTGCCCCAGAACTAATCGACAGAGGGGACATGCCAGGAGGGCGCGCCGCGGAACGTCCCAAGGGACGCGCCAGGCGACGTGCCAGGGGACGTGCCATGGGGACGCACCGCGGGACGTGCCAAGGGGACGCGCTACGGAACGTGCCAATGGACGTGCACCGCGCGACGTGCCAGGGGGACTTGCCACGGGACGCGCCGCGGAACGTGCCAGGCAACACGCCAGGCTGCAATGCTAATGGGATCGATCTTGATGTACCGTGCCGAGGGCTGGGCTGTGCCTGGGCGACCTGGACACGTGAAAACATGCGTTCCGCTCAAGACGTTCTCAGCACATCCTCATACATCCGCCTGGGCAACCTGGACACGTGCAAACAAGCGTCTCGATCGAGACTTCCTCGACACATCCTCGTGCCAGACATCAGCCTGGGCGACCTGGACACGTGAAAACCAGCCTCTGGTTCGAGACATCCTCAACAAATCCTCATGCTAGACATCTGTCAGGGCAACCTGGAGGCGTGAAACCAAGCGTCTCGCTCGAGACATCCTCAAGACCTGGGCACGTGAAAACAAGCATTTCACTTGAGAGATCCTCTGAATTCAGGTCCCCAGGAGAGGACTATCTATAACACAAAACAAGCGTTTCGCTCGAGACATCCTCAACAAATTCTGACAACAAGCGTTTCGCTCGAGGCATCCTCAAAATTCTAATTCGCTGGCCCTACGCGACCTCGTTATTTATCGCAAAGTAATTTCGCCGGCCCTGCAGCCGTCAGAACGGGGGGACAACACACTAAAAGAGAACCCTGGGCCCCAGCCCTTTCCAGGAAAAAGACTCCCGGAGGACTTCCAAGACGGCCCGGAAAGGCCACATTCATTGATTATCCTAAGGCTTTCGTTCGGTTCCTTCATCTCCTGGACCACGCGGGGCCCAAGAGGAAAACTGCAAGGGTTTTCCGAGCCCTCCAGGGAGCTCCCACAATGGCCCCCACCGTCAAGCAACAGTTGACCAAACAGGCCCCGGGCAATTGGCTGGCTGACCCAGTGGCTGTCTTTACATCTGCACTCCGACCGTCCGCCGGTTCCACCTCCGACTTTGAAGGAGGTCTCAGGCTGCCTCCAACTGGTTCGTTCAGCGGCTACCCTTCCGCTTTGAGTCAAACAGTTCCGTCGGACTCCAGCATGACGGTTCCAATATATATATATATATATATATACATATAACGGCGCACCGGGTCCGGGGGCCCGGGGCCGGGACCTCGACCACAAATGTGCACCCCGGGGGGCCCGGAGCTCGTCGGGCTTGCGGAGGCCTCCCCCGGTCAGACAAGAGGTGGTGGGGGGGGGGGGGGCGGGGGGCGGGGCGTGGGGGGGGGGGGGGTGGGGGGGGGGGGGGGGGGGGGGGGGGGGGGGTGGGGGGGAGCACCAGAAGCGCCCAAGCCTCCAACATGCGTCCCAAGAGGGCCCCTAGATGCAAAAATTGGCCCATTTCCCTCGTAAAACGTACATTTTCAACAAAGTTGTCTTTTGGGCTTTCCGACGTTACAGGACGGCCCAAGAGGCGCCCAAGACCGCCCCAAGACGGCCAAAGAAGCTTCCAAGAGGGCCCCAGGACAGCCCAAGAGGGCCCCAAGACGGCCCAAGAGGCGCCCAAGATGGCCCAAGAGGGCCCCAAGATGGGCCCAAGAGGGGGCCCAGAGGGGGACCACGAACCGCAAGCTCGAGCCTTCCGCCCCAAGAGGCCGCCAGGAGGCCCCCAGGAGGCCCCTCAAGAGGCCCCAGGAGACCCCCAAGAGGCCCAAAGGAGGCCACGAGAAGCCCCAAATCGGCCCCCACAATGCTTCGAACCTGCTTCCAGGAGGCCCCCGACAGGTTCAGAGGCTCCCAAGAAGCTACGTCAAACTCCCAGCGAGCGGCCGGAC